CCCCCAAAGCCCCAGTAGATAGTTGTATGTCATAGCTGCACATCCTTCTAGTTGCTGTATGTGGGACGCGGCCTCAGCATGGCCAGAGAAGCGGTGTGTCCGTGCGCGCTGGGGATCCGAACCCGGGCCGCCAGCAGCAGAGCACGCGCACTTAACCCCTAAGCCACGAGGCCGGCCCTCTTATTCTTGAAGTAAATAAAAATAACGCTTTTTGATAATGTTAACTCCTCACATTTCTATCATTTCTTTCACTTGCCTTGAAAGGCTTTGAAAAATAGGGTATCCTGCTGTCTACCTTCTCATCAGTCGCGCCATAACTGCTGTCTTCCTTTTGACTCTTGCGTATACTGGAATCATTATATAAGTAATGACTGAAATTGTTATATACATAACCACTACTTTCCTACTCTGTAAATCCAACAGCATCTTCTTGGTTTTAACGCTCTCAGTCACTTGATAATGTTATCCATCTCCCCTACCCTGACAAACTTTTAAAGTCTGCCATGTGACTACAAAACTCCAGAGGGGAAAGCAGTCCCTATTCTTGACGGCCCCATAGGAAATAGCAGTCTGAATAATTTTATATTATGCCCTATACCTTCAATTCTGCAAAATTCTGTTTGAATTTGCATAATAGAGTTAATGAGAGCTCTGTAGAAGTGATAGTACTTATGAGCTCAAAATTGTTATTGACATTAGTATCTACAAAGAATCTGTATTCTATTAGATACCAAACAGGCTAATAATGCATGTGTTGTAATCTCTATAAAATGTTCCTGCTGGTTTTCATTCTCCATTAAAGGTTTGCACTATATGGCATATTTGTGTAAGGAAATCTTTGGTCTGCATTTGAGCTGCATAACATCACGAAACTTGTTCACTTTTACTTGATTGCCTTTATTAGGTAATGATACCTTGTTATGATATTTTTTAAAAAGAATTCACCAACTCTCATCTCCTTACCAGAGAGGAAAGCTCTATTTTTGATCAGCAGATGGTCTTTTGTTTTATTTTTTGATGTATTTTATGTCTGTCCACATTAGAAACTACATGGACTTATGGAAAGAATAAGATAAAAATGTGGAGAGGAGGATTTAGGAGCTTGGCTGTGAAGGAGAAGGGACAGCAAAAAAGCTAGAAGACTGGCTGGAGCTTTTAAGGGAGAATTTGAAGCCTCCTTGAAATGTGAGGCTTTGAGGAGAAATGAGTTGAGGATTTTTAGAAAGTTCTGCTGCTACTCATGGTATAGTTATTCCTTGGCAGCCTCCCTCAAAATTTTTTTCAGTAAATTTCTACATTAACCAGGGAAGGTCACTCTGAAGATGCTATGTTTGAGCTGAAACTTATGAGGCACCAGTTATGTTAGACATGGAGAAAGAGCATTCTGGGAAGAGAGAACAATTCAGGGACCATAAGGCTACAATGAGCTTGTTATGTTCAAGGAACTGAAAAAAGACCGTGTGGCTGGAGCCTGGAGAGGAGGATGATGCCAAAAAGTGAGAGATACATAAGGATAAATATGTAGGACTTGCACATCAGGGTGAAGAATTGAAGTTTTAATTGTGTCACTGCTAAGACTGACCTTAAGAAGAAGAAAGCATGCAGGGCTACTTTTGAGTTATATATGACACATTTTCCTTTTTTGCCTTGGTTGCTAGGAAGACAAGGGAAACTTAGTGGAGTCAGAATATTTCAGGAGCTTATCTCTATAAGTTCTCAATTATAGTAATTGAATTTTACATGTAGATGATATATTTTCTTTTCCTATAATTTGGTTTACATTATAACTCTTAATTCAGTGTATCTTTTTGGTAAATAAGAGTATATATATTTTATATAAAAATAATGAAACTTCTTTATTCCTGACTAAATTCTAGAATATAAAGAAAATTTTATAGTTTCCCAATTAAGTATGCTTTTTGTCTTACTAGTATAATGACTTGACGAAGAAGAAGAGAATTGTAGAAAACGACAAATCCAAAATCCTTGCAACTATAGAAGACCTTGATCGGAAGAAAAACCAGGCCCTAAATATTGCTTGGCAAAAGGTATTTGAACCAAAAATATAATCATTTATTCTGTATGAGGCAAGGATGAAAAATATTGTCAGTAGATTTTTGCTCTTTAAGATGAATTTGAAATGGCTAATTTGTGTTTGAATGAGGCACATGGTCACCCCTTAATTAAAACCTCATATTCTTTTCGGACTTGGCTACTTCCGATTTGCAAAGGTAAGTTTGGGTCACTCCATCATACTCTCATAGTCTACTTCTCTGGTTCCTAAGTTATATTAAATTCCAACTTTCTAGATTTCTGCATTTTTCATTCTTAACCTTGTTTGCTAGGTCTGTGTTACCTTTAAAGGGGATACCGTTTGTCCTCTTTTCCTTCCCAGGAGATCAGAGGCTCTTCTATTTGGAAGAAACCTTAGATACTGTCCAATATCTGCTGTACCCCACTCACCCTCTGCTTGAAATTGGAAGCAATCTGATTTTCACACTGGGGGAGCTCTGATTGTCAGAAAACCTCTCCCAAGCACCCCTTCAGTTGTCATCTCCTTGATTTCTCTTGCCCAGCTCAGAGGTCAAATATTAGTTCTAACAACATTTCTATAGCAAGGCTGGTGTATTCTTTACCACTTACAAATTATTAATTGCACATCATAACTCATAAATATTATGCATTCCGTAGGTTTTTAGCAAAGCATTTTGTACATGTTAGGTTAATAATTATGTTAGTTAACACGTATTAAGCAGTTACTCTCTTAATTATCTTACACGAATCATCTTAAAACAATTCTATAACTTTGATACTTATTATCCCTATTTTATAGATGAAGAAACCAAAGCTTAGAAAGATGAAATAGTGTGTCTAAGATCATATAGCCAAAAGGTGGAAAAACTGGTATTCTCTTTTCCTAAATTAGAACCAAAGTTAAAATTGCCTTTTGTTGCTAACTGCTGTCACCCTTGTTGCCCTTTAATAATTGGGCAGTAAACAAGGAAATGTAGTATTCTCTTTTACTGATCTCTTATTCAGCAGAATTCCAATTACCATTTTGTTTTGTTCTGTGACAACGTTGGCAGATTGGAAGGTTCTTTGCTATTGTTCTATTTCTCTGGCTGCATGTATTTGTTTCCTTTAGGATAACTCCTTAGCCTCTCAGCATGGAAATTTTTCTGTCTCTATCACAGCAAAAGACTGTTACTCAAAAGAGTCCAAACATAGTTACTGTGTTGTTTGATACTTTAACAAGCCTCTGGGATTTAACTGGGTACCTGGCGTCTTTTTCTCTTTTTAATTCTGTAGGAACTTTATTTTCAATAATGGCAGCACAATTATCCTTTTCAGTCATCTTGTTTTTCCTGCTCTGTGACTTATTTTCAGTGTTCCATCTCTCTATAATATCTTTTAAAATGCATGCAAAAAGTTGGCCCCGTTTTTCTTGTACAACTTGGATTTAACACTGGATCTGAGAGGTTTTGTGTCATTTTCTCCGTGGTTCCTGGATTTAGTGCAAGTACAAATTTATCCTTTAAATGGATTTTTCCCCAATTTCCAAGATTCTCCCAAGCAAGTAAATTTGAGTGCTTATTATATTTCAGGCACTATTCACATATTAATTTTCCCATTTAATCCTCACAATAACTTAACGAGGTAGGAACTATTATTATCAGCACTGTATACTTCCTTCTGGCATCAAGCATACTTGCTTTGCAAAGCCGGAGTATTGTGTTTTTTGTTTTTTTGTTCCCTTCTTAGCCTCATTGGATTTTCAAAATTTGATTGCATTTCATCTTTATATCTCTCCATGAATAGAATTCATTTCCTATCTAGGATAGGGCTATATTCTTCTCTTCCCATTAACCGGTAAATTTCTCTTTTCCACTTTGGAAGAGTTTCCACATGGGGTCCATCGTCATGTTTGGGGTTTAGTAACATTCCACTGTCTTAGTCCTGAGCTGCCTCTATCCTGCCTGGCCAAAAAATTTAAAAAAAGAAAAAGAACCTAGGGTGTTTATAAATACTATGATATCTTCCATCTTTCCCAAAAAAGACAGAGGTCCTCTCTCTATTGTGACAAACCTTGCCTAGCTCTGGAAATCTATCCCAGATAAAACAAAAACCTCTGTAGGATATTACTCAGCATGTGTGCAGTTGCTCTTAAAATATGCATTCCTTAGTAAACCCATATTCAGGAGTACTGCTTGTGTCTAGAAGATTTCCTTATTACTACAAATATTCATAAAAATATATTTGCACTTGAATTTTGTACTTGAATTTGGAGATTTCCCTAGAGAACACGGCTGTCAAATTCACTTGGATGTGTACATGTGTGTGTTTATATATACTCTCAAATTTATCTGCCAAACTCTTTAATGTTATTAATCATGTCTTTGAAGACAGATGGCTGAATTCTCGAATCATTGATCAAGTGTGTATGCACAAAAATTACTCAATTACAAGCTAGAATATAGGCCTAAATCTCTGTGTAATCTCCTACTATGTCTTGATGGGGATAGCCAAACAGCTTCTTGAGGCCTTTTCTCTTGGGGTCCAACCCTGTGCTTGTCCCTTGACACCTTAGCTTCTTTGGCTATGAGAAGAAGTATACAGAAAAGAACCGTTTGATGCCTTGGAACAGATCTGATTGTTTGATTTCATGCCTCCTTTTCTCCTAGATTTCACCCTGATCTTCTTAGGCTTTTTAAGGTTAGCTGATAACCACCAGTCAACAGAAAACAAGTTTTATAAGAGAAAATTTTATGCCAAAAAGAGAGGGTTTTTTTTGTTTTTGCTTCTTCGACTGAAAGTTCAATGTCCTATATTATATAATTGTATGCCTCTGAGGCTTCCTGCAGTATGGCCTACAAAGGTATCAAACCTTCTGGGTAGAGTTAGAGATATAACTTCTAGCTCCCCTTGGAAGTGAGAGCAGGACTCAGTAATTTATTTCTGTAAAGGGACGGATAATAAATATTTCTGGCTTTATGAGCCATATACTCTCTGTTGTACCTACTAGACTCTATTATTGTAGTGCTAGCAACCATAGACAATACATAAATGAATGGGCATGGCCTGGTTTGTCACATGGGCCATAATTTGCCAACCCCTGAGTTAGAGTAACAAACAACACAATGCACCTGCTGGGTTGCATATACACGCATCAACATTTGATTCTTCTGGAAAACCTTCTATGATATTTTAATATCATTTTTTTATCCAGGTGAACAAGGACTTTGGATCCATTTTCTCTACTCTTTTGCCTGGTGCCAATGCTATGCTTGCACCACCAGAGGGGCAAACTGTATTGGATGGTCTGGAGTTCAAGGTTGCCTTAGGAAATACTTGGAAAGAAAACCTAACTGAACTTAGTGGTGGTCAGAGGTGCGTAATCCCTTGGCAATATTATAATTCCTAATTCCTCTTATTTTATTATAATCCATCATCTCATTGCCTCCCAATTTTATTTCAGTTTTGCTTTGCTTAGCTATCTATGCATGTAGTATTTAAGGAGCCTAATATTTAAGAGTACAAATTTTAGTTAGAATATTTGATAAAAATAGGCAACAAAGGAGAAATAAGGATGAGCAACTAGAAAACTAGACAAAATATATGAAAAGCAGTTGTTTTCAGACATTGGAAAATGAGTAGCCGTGGAGTATGGTACCTGAAAGAAAGGAAACAGAAGTGCTGAGCTGAGTGTTTACCCGGCTTTCTCCCCAGGAGCAATTTCTGGACTGCAGATACAGGGAGGGGAACCACACAAAGCCCAGTAGTCTCACTAACTTAAGGAAACAGAGGTTAGAATTTTGGGAAGCCCCAGTGAGCCACCCCTTAGCATTAGGTCTGCACTATCCCTGAAGTGAAGGCTACTCTAGACACACCTAAGCACAGTTCAGTGAAGGCCTTGAAGAGATCAAGGTGATCTGCATGTAACTTAATTGTTTCTCAGAACAAAGCTCAATATGCTTTAAAGAAAGACAAGACTCTGAACAACATAATCACAATGTCCAGCATCTAAGAAAAATTACTAGACAAATCAAGAAAAATGTGACTCTTATATAGCCTAGAGAAAAATCAGTCTGGAAACAGACCCAGAAATAACAGGTGATGAAACTAGCAGACAAGGAAGTTAGAGTTACATTAACTATTTCCAAGAATTACAAGAAAAAAAGAACGTGATGAAAGAAATGGAAGTTGTTAAAAAAGAATCAAGTGGAACTTCTAGAGATAAAAAAAATATACCTCAAATGAAAATTCATTGCATGAGATTAACAGCAGCTTAGACAATGTAAAAGAAATGTGATTGAATTTGAAGGCATAGCAATAGCATCTATTCAGGCTAAACTGACAAATACAAAGCTATAAAAACAAACAAAGCTTCACTGACCTGAGGGACAATATCAAGCAGTCTAACATGCATGTAATTAGAGTTCCAAGAGGAGAGGAAGAGGTAAAAAGAAAAATACTTGAAGAAATAATGTGCCCAAATTTTCCAGATTTGATGAGTTCTGTAAACCCACACAGGCTTGATTCCTATGAACCCCAGGTAGGATAAACACATGCACTCCCCCCTACATACAATACCACAGCAAGGCACATCATATAAAATTGCTGAAAACCAGTGATTAGGAGAAAAATCTTAAAAGCAGCCAGAGGTAAAAAGGCAGAGTATGTGCCAAGGAACAAAGATAAGAGTAACTTAGACTTCTCATCAAACACTATGCAAGCCAGAAGTCTGGAACAACATCTATAAAGTTCCAAAAGAAAAAACATGTCAACCTAGAATTCTAGTAGAAATATTCTAGTAGAAATATTCTTCAAATTGAAAGCAATAGCAGTATTTTTTCAGAAAAACAAAAGCTGAAAGAATTTGATCCTGGCAAAAAAGTACAAGTGAAAGGAAGATGATACCAGATGGAAAATTGGATCTACCTAAAGGAATGAAGGGTGTGGAGATAGCATGCTCAGAGCTTCAGAGAAGTTTCTCCCAGCCTTACACAGTGATTCAGACAGTCAGCATACTGAGAGAAACTTAGTAGAAGGTTGTGTGGCCCAACTCCTTACCTGCAGAGAGCCAAATAATTAAAACCTCCTGAGAGAACATTGTGAATATTCACATAATTGAAGATGGTTATTAGTTTTGTGTTTTCCCCTGCGAGATGTATAATCCATAGTCCTTGAATTATTCTCATGTGCCCTATAGTGCCATCATGTAACTCTTACATAGGTAGAAAATACTAAGACCTGTCAATTTTCCTTATGAAATCCTTTGCCATTTTTATGAGCAGGATAGCAGTCCACTCTATATTTTTCATTATTGATAAAATTCCTGAATATTTTAAGAGTCTAAAAGACAGCTTCTGCTGCCTGTTAACCAAAATTGAATTCCACAGTTTAAATCCTGGTATCTTTAACTGTTTTTGCTGAAGTCCTAGAAAATGTTTTGGGGAAAATAGAAAATGTATACTTATTTTCTTATCGGGACCTAAAAATTATTTCTATAGTTAAAATAATATAAAATTATTTTTAGATATACCACCATCAGCATAGTAGTGTAACTCTTGGTGAGATTTTTTTTCTGAATGACTAAGTGTAAAGCTCAGTGCCTTAAACATTTGACACAGAGAAAGGCAGTGAAAAATAATTTTAGATTGTTTGAATGACTTCAGCTCCCCTCTGTGGAGGTAGATCAATCTCACTGTTGTTTGCTTTTTATTGTACTGTTTCATTTTCTTTGCTAGAAATTTTGGTTTCACCTTCCCAGACCTCCTCCACTGTGCACATATTTTTTTTCCCACTTACATGTTTCTTAATAAATACCCTGTTGGAATGTAATAAGCATTAGATTGACTATTTACTCTAGTGCTGCATGGCAGGAGAGGTTTGAAATTACAGAAAAGTGTGTTACAAGTGTTACAATTTTTATTCTAATGTTAATTACAAATATTTTGTATTAAAATAAAAAAGGCTTTTTTATAAAATGTTTAAGAAAAAATATAAGAATTATTATGATTCTTCATACCAGATTAGAATGAAAACAGTTACAGTTAAAAGGGATGGTTAGCTAGAAGAGAAGTGAAAAAGAGCTGTAGAATCTGAGAGTAGGCGTAACTACAAATTTTAAATAAGGCTATTAGTCGGGGTTCTCTAGAGAAACAGAATTGATAGTACATATATATATAGGAAGAGGTTTATTATAAGGAATTGGCTCATTTTATTGTGGAAGCTGAGAAGTTCCACAGTTTTCTGCCTGCAAGCTGGAGACCCAGGAAAGCAGTGGTATAGTTCAGAGTGGGTCTGAGGGCCTGAGGACCAGGAGCACTGAGGACGGAATACCCATGTCCCAGCTCAAGTAATCAGGCAGGAAGAGGCCAATTCTGTTTCTACCTTTTTCACTATTCAAGCCCTTAGTGAATTGGATCATGTCCACCCACATGGGAGAAGGCAAAACTGCTATACTGAGTCCTCCAATTCAAATGCTAATTTCATCCAGAAACACCCTCACAAACACACCCAGAAATAATGTTTAGCCAAATATCTGGGTACGCCATGATCCAGTCAATTTGACACACAAAATTAACCATCACATAAGGATTGTTTGAACTTCTAACCCTGAAGTATTTAAAGTAATGGGTCATATACTATATAGCTTACTCTCAAATGGTGCCAATAAAAAGTAGAGTGTGTCTATATGTTTGTGTGTCTGTGCATGTGGGTGCGTACACAGTAAAAGTTGGAAAGAGTTATAAACCAGTTATACTGTTACCAAGACAATAGCTGTTGTCCTAACAAGTTTAAGTATGTAGCCCTCACTCACCTGCTACCTAGGTATCTAATAAGCAATTGGGGAAGGAAAGAAAAACTATTAACACTAACATGATCTTTTCTTAAGGATGGGTGCCGAATGTAATATCCTGATTACCTGACTGGAAGAAAGATGTAAACCTATTCTATTCAAAATAAAACTTGTTGAAGAGAGGAAAATGGAAAGCTAAAATAAAAACAACGTTTTAATATAACAAAAGTGTTGAAGTTTGAAGCTTAAAACTCATTTTCTATGACTATCTTTCAGCTAAATATATACTATTCATAATAATAATAGTAGTGACAGGATAGCAGATTTGCTTCAATGTTTTGTTACAAAGTGGTAAAATCAAGTTTTGACAGCTTTTCTTCCGGCCTCCTTTTCTTAGGTCTTTAGTGGCTTTGTCATTAATACTGTCCATGCTGCTCTTCAAACCTGCTCCAATTTACATCCTAGATGAGGTGGACGCAGCCTTGGACCTTTCTCACACCCAGAATATTGGACAGATGCTGCGTACTCATTTCACACATTCTCAGGTGAGAGGCAGAAAAACTGTCTCAGTAGTAAAGTATAGTATTTCTTTTTCTAAAACTTCTTTAGTAGTAGTCAATATTAATAAGATATTTAGCATTGAGGAATACTAAAGCACTGTGTATCTCTTTAAATATATACTTAGATTCAAATGGGTATAGAAGGAAAGAGGGTTTGGTCCCCTATTAAAGAAAGCATTATAACTGTTGGTTGGAGCATGAGGGAGAATCTAATTTTTTCCTAATTTGAGATTAATTTAAAGTTAATGTAATTATTTTCTCTAGCTGCCAGAGGATGCACAATCAAAACAAGACTATTTCAAGGATATATCTAGGTATCAGGAAATCATGTGGCACTTGATGGGGTAGTCTTCATTTCTCCTGGCTAGAAAGTAGAGAAAAGCCCCTGAAGCTAACACCAGTTTGTATTTATTGAACTGTTGCTGCAGGAACTGGGGCTGCCGAACATGGTCATACAGATAATGCATTGTACAACTCTGGGGGGCTTCATGTGTCGTGGTTATTATAGACTGTGCATTTATTATGGCAGTTTTTTTGCAGATAATGGTGAAGTTAATTTCTTAATTATACAAATATTCCATTTGAGATAGTGGTAGTGCTGTAGGAACTTGAAGCCTTCTTTGATATTATTAAAATATCACAGAGAAAAGTATTTCACTAGGGCATTTAGAGCTAGCAACAAAACAGTGATGCCAGCTGCAGAAGACAGCAACAAACAGTCAACCAGCAGGAAGTAGTAAACCCGGGTAGTACAGCACTTAAGGTAAAATTAAGGGACTCGTAAAACCAAACATGGCAAGCCAGAATTCATTTAGGGGCCTAATAGTATAACTGTTTGTTACTTGCATTTGAGGTTGTGCATTTGCTTGGAGCCAAGCAGTTAAAGAAAGAACAAAATCAATATCTCCAAACAATTCTTAACCCCAGTGTAAAAAAAGGCATGAACTTCAAGACTATTACAAAACATATTTTTCATGCTTGTTTTCTTTTCCCTTAAGTTCATTGTGGTGTCCCTAAAGGAAGGTATGTTCAACAATGCAAACGTCCTTTTCAAAACCAAGTTTGTGGATGGTGTTTCTACAGTAGCCAGATTTACTCAGTGTCAAGATGGAAAGAATCCAAAGGAAACCAAAGCCAAGGCAAAAGGACCCAAATGATCACATGGGGAAGTTAAAAGTACAGATTTTCTCCTTCACCTTGACCTGTTTTTTAAACAAACTTTTTAAGAACTTGGGATTTATCTAACTTGTTTATATAAAAAGGTAATGTTATTTTGTTACTTAACCCGTACTTTCTCTTCCTTTATGTAATCACTTATAAATGAGCATAGATTCCTCTTTTCTTAGTGTTAACTATGGTCCAATTACTGTGATTGTGATTTTATGTGTGTCATCAAATGTTTTATTCTTTCACAAGTCTTTATATATTAGGGAGCCTGAGATACGTGGTTGGTGATCACTTCTGTTTGTAAAAGCAAAAATACAAAGAAACAGATTAAATTAAATTGTAGGATAAATATAGCTGATAGTCAGCTTTAAATAATTAGCTTAATTCCTAAGGTAATATTAGTGTGTTTTCTATTGCTAATAAAGTCATTCGGTAAGGAAGAATTATAAAGCAAATAACTGGACCAACAAAAGGAAGACCAGGAAAGCTCTTGGGCACACTTGGAGCTGTTTGTAGTTAGTTCTTTGAGGACACAGTGCCAGATCCCTGAGTTAAACTCAGATGGGAAACAGATCTTGAAAGATTTCTCTCATTTTAATGATGCTTCAATATCATGTTTCTGTATGCTTAGTAATTAGTCTGTGCAATCTTAATTTTAAAAAAAACTTTATGAATATTTTAATAGAAGTTTGGGAAAAGATGTGTTGCATGCTGCTCTCTGCTGCAAATTTATCTAAAGTCTCCTAATATTTTCAAAGATTTTTGCCAGCCTTTTCATAATCCAATCAATAACAATCTATTGGTGAATGAGAATGCAGGAGCCAGCAGACTAAACCAAATTTATCTTTTTCCTTCAGTCTGATACATATGTAAATAAATAGATCCATCTTTTCTACCAAAAGGACTCAAAATTTCATGATCATTATACTTTTTAGTGTCTTCTGCTTTCCAGTTCAAAAGGATGAAATGCCTTTAAGAACTCAAAAGATGATGCTAATAAACGCCATAAAAATACTATATATAGTTCTTAGTATCTCTAGGTGCATCACCAGAACAGTGTCTCCAAACTCTGAATCTTGGAAGCTCTGACATGATCTAGTCTGATCTTGGGTATGTTATTTTGGCCCCACATCCCTTGTTGATACTTGGGTCTTAGTTCCTTGGTGTTATCCTTTCTCTGATATATGCTCATACTTACTGGCCCTAGGTTTAACATTTCTCATCCTTCATTCTTATACATATCTGAGGATGTCAGAGAACACCCCAGTAACTGATATTGTGGGACACATTGGAAAGGATTGAATCTGGAATTAGTTTTGTCCACTGTGGAAGGAGAGAGAGACAAAGCTATAAATGCTGAGTTACATGAAGTCCAATATCACATATAACAGACATAAGTTTATTTCCTTCCAAATGTATTGCACATTATTTGCCAAAACAGTTATATCTGTTCACACTGTCTCCAATACCGTTGACCACAACCTAATCAGACTGGCTGTTAATTTTAATACTTCTGATTTACTAGTTATAAAATGGTACTTCATTGCTGTTTTAACTAGCCTTTTACAAATAACTTGTGAGGTTGAGTATTTTGCCGTATGTACTAATTTTTTTTCCTCTGCTACAAATTTCTGTTTGTTTTCCTATTTTTTTTCTTACGTATAATCTTGCTCTTTGATGAAAACCCTCAAACATATTAAATTTTTGTGAGTAATGTCATTATTCTTTGATTAGAGGAAACACCTTCAGGGGAATGGGGACATTTATTTCACACATCTGCAATAACATGAATAATATTTATTGATCTGTTTCTATACATCGGACACTATTCTCATTTGCACGTTTTCACATTTAATCCTAATAATAATCCAGTGAGGTAAGTACTGTTATCAGCGTTATATAATTGAAGAAATTGAATTGAGCAGAGAAATTAAGAAACTTGCCCACAGTGATAGTACAGTTAGTGAGGGGCAGAGCCAAGATACAAATCTTGGCTGTAGGTCTCCGGAACCATGATACACCACCTCTCTGACAGCTTGAACATTTGCATCTATTGTACATAATAAATTTAAGAGATACCTGGATGAGCTGTATACACAACATGTGAAAATTATCTTTAGGAAGAACCTCAAACGTTTGAAGAGAGGATTCCTTGTGTTTTTGTTCGTTGTTTTGACGTTTCAGGTATGCTAACTGCAAATGCAAAAGCAAAGACTTGAGAATCCCTCTTCCAATATGGTGGGGTAATCTAACAAGCCAGCACTCCCACAGTCATGTCATCTGCAAATCAGGGCAGTTCTGTTTCTTCCCTTGTAATCTGTATGCCTTTTATTGCCCTATTGCACTGGCTTGAGCTTCCAGCACTATGTTGTGTAAGAGTGATGAGAGCTGGTTTATTTGCCTTTTTCCCAAAATTAGGAGGAAAGCGTTCAATCTTTCACCAATAAGTGTAATGTTAGCTATAGGCTTTTGGTAGATGTTCTTTATCAAGTTAAAGAAGTTCCCTTCTATTCCTGGTTTGATCATAACTTTATCATGGATAGGTGTTGAATTTTGTCTAATGCTTTTTTCTGCATTGATTGATATGATCATGATCCTGTAACTTTCCTTAGCCTGTTAACAATATAATTACCTTGCTTAATTTTTAAATATGAAACCAACCTTGTATCCCTGGAATAAACTTCACTTGGTCATGGTGTATAACTTTTTTTATGTATTGCTGGATTCTATTTGCTAATAGTTTGGTCATGAATTTTATGTATGTTCATGAGGGGCATTGGTCTGTAAGTTTCTTTTTTTTTTTTTTTCCTACTGCTGTTGGTTTCACAGTAATAGTAGCTTTATAAAATGAATTGGGAAATGTTCCCTCTTCTATTTTCTGGAGGATTGTATAGAGTTGGTATTAATTCTTTAAATATTTGGTAGAATTCTCCTGTGAAATCATCTGGGGCTGGAGATTTGGGGGGATGGTAAAATGGGTACAATTACTTTAATAGTTACAGGGCTATTTAAATTATCTATTTCATATTGGGTGACTTGTGATAGTTTGTGTTTTTTGAGGAATTGTTCCATTTCATCTGCATTGTCAAATTTGTGTGTAGAGGTCATGGTATTTCCTCATTATCCTTTTGATGTCTTCAAGTTCTGAAATGCTATCCCTTTTTTCGTTCCTGATGTTAGTATTTTGTGTCTTTTCTCTTTTTATTTTTGTCAATCTTGCTGGAGGTTTGTCTTTTCAAAGAACCAGCTTTTTGTTTCATTGACATTCTCTGTTGTCTTTCTGTTTTCAGTTCATTGATTTTTGCTCTTGGCTTATTTTGTTTTTTCTGCTTGGTTTGGGCTTTGCTCTTTTTTAGTTTTATGGTGGAAGTTTAGATTATTGATTTGAGCCCTCTGTTTTTTTCTGATAAGCACTTAACGCTGTAAATGTCCCTCTTAAGTAATCTTTTAGCTTCCTCTCACAGATTTTGATATGTTGCATTTTCATCTTCAACTTCAAAATATTTTCTAATTTATCTTGACATTTCTTCTTTGACCAATGGATTTTTTCGGAGTGTATTTCTTAATTTCCAAATACTTGGGATTTTCCAGGTAGCTTTCTCATACTGATTTCTAGTTTAATTCTGTTGTAGTCAAGGATCATACTTTGTATCATTTCATTTTTTAAAAAATTGTTAGAAATAAAATGGTAGATTTAAATGCTTCTATTAGAAAACATAAAAAGGTACTAATTCAATGGTCTAAGGTCTACTTTAATCTATATTCTAGATACATAAGAACAAAGTAAACTCAAATAGAAAGATGGAAATAATAAAGGGTGTAAATCAACAATTTATAAGACAGAAAATCAGTGAAACCAATACCTGGTTCTCCAAAGAGCAACAAAATCAGTATATCTCTAATTAGACCAATCAAATAAACCAGAGAAATTACAAATCACTAATAGCAGTGAAAGTTGCCACTATGGATTTCACCTAAATTAAAAGGATACAAAATTAAGACTATTTTTATGGGAGTAAATTTGACAACTTAGACAAAATGGAGAAATTATTAGAAAAATAAAACTCACTGAAACTGCCACAGGAATAGACAAGACCTGAATAGCCTTATATCTATTAATGCAATTAAAATTATTATCAAATATGTTCCCACAAAGAAAACTCCAATCCCACATGGCTTCACTTGTGAATTTTACCATTCAAGGAAGAAATAACACCAGTCTTACACAAAGTCTTCCAGAAAACAGAGGGGGAGGGAACACTTCCAACTCATTTAATGAGGCCAGTGTTGTTCTAATACTAGAACTTGACAAAGATATTACAAAACGTGAAAATTACAGGACAATAGTATTCGTGAATATAGGAACAAAAGTCCTGAAAATATTAGCAAATTGAATCTAACATTTATAAAAGATAATCCATTTTCAAGTTGGTTTTTCAACAGATGGTTCTGACAGCTAGACATTTTGTGTATATTCATAACATACACAAAAAATATCTAAAATGAGTCATAGATGTAAAAAGTTATAACATTTCTAGAAGAAAACAGGTGAACAGTCTTTGTGACCTTAGAATAGGCAAAGATTTCCTTGGACACAAAAAACACAAGCCATAAATGAAAAAAAAAAGGATAAATGGAACATTAAAGTTAAATTGAAAACATCTCTTCAAAAGACACTTAAGAAAGTGAAAAGACAGACCATACATTAGGAGAAATTATTTACAAGGGCTGACAGAATTGCGTGCAAAATATATCAAGAACTTGTAACTCACATTTTGACATTTGCACGAATGGGGTAAAAGCAATGGGTAAAACTGCTGTCACCTTAGCATAAATCAAGGCAGTGCAACCCTGTACTGTGGGACTGATTGCATTTGTCACTGCCATGCATTTAAATTTTTCTTAAATGGCAGTTTCAATTAAGAGTGTCTGATGAAGCTGTAAATATTAATTTTTTTGTATATCAACCTCGTGAGTATGTCTTTAATAATCTGTTCAAATTGGAATTATGTATAAAGCACTTCTGCATGCCAAAACATGATGGTTATTTTGCAGAAATGCAGTTATTTCAGTTGGGGTCTGAAGTAACTGCTTTTTTCATGGAATATCATTTGTACTTAAACAGATGACTAAGACAAACTATGGTTATTAAGTCTATTGGTACTTGGTAGACGTTTCTCAAAAATGAACAGTGAGCCTGTCATATGAACCTGACATTTGTTGCAAATAGTAGAATTGTAGCTTTCAAATGAAAACTAGAATTTTGGCAAACTTGATTTGCCATTGTGAGCTTGATGGCTCAATAGTTAAAGACTTTTCTGATAACACTGGTGGTGATATTAACAAATGGGATTTTTTTTT